ATTAACTAGAATTACAGCTAATGTAAATGTTCGTAACACGGAAGTTCCTCTAAACTTCCTTTGAAAAGTGTATGGGCGTGTATTTTATTGGGGAGACACCCTGGCCCTGGCTGGGTAGACTGATCTAATTTAGGGGTCGGTCTTCCTCTTTGAATATACCTCCGCATGGCAACTAGGTCAGCAACTGCTTCTGGTCTTTGTCGGGGCCACTTTTGGGGTGGACACTTCGCGGCCAGGCAGTGAACCCGGGCAACCAGCATTTGCTGCTCACGGCGGTGGATGAGGCATGCCTGGTCCGAAGAGATTTCACGAGCTTCGCAAGGCTTTGTCCACCCCATAGAAGGCCCTTTGCGGCCTTGGTTGGTTGATCAGAAGACGAAATAGCACCAAGAGAACAACCGGTAGGTAAACGCTATAGCAAACGGACTCCTTACATCACATATCCACCCCCCTTGGCCGCTCCAGCTTGCCAGGATGGCAAGCCTGCTCCCACTGCAGAGGCCGTCTCCGATCTCCCGGTCGCACGAGCCGCCTTGAAGACCTCGAAAGCCTCCACGGACCGTCCGACGTCGAACGTTCGACGTCGAACGAGCGACGTCGAAGGCCCCGCCCCTGTGGGCTGTGGCGAACATCGGCGTGTCCTCCGTCCGCGACCTCAGGGGTGTTGGATGGAACTCGGGTCGATTGAAACGTCTGCCTGCACTGCAGCTGTTGGGAACAACTGCAAGGTCGAGGGTGATGGTCCATTTTGCAGGTCAACATTTAAAACCCTTAGATATACATAACATGTAGTCCTTACATTATACTTGTAGGGGGGCAAACAAGATCCTTTCCATGATTTTTCAACTCCCATTTGATCATCTCACAAGCAGAGGTGCTTAAAGTGATAGTATTTTGCAGTTGCTGGGGATGTTCACAGAGAAGACTCACTCAATCAACAATGTAAATTACTCAAATAGAAAGCCGCTGTGTGCAGTTCCCAGTTTTGTTTTTACTTTTCTTATTTTTGGTTTAGTACGGCAGTGTTCAGTGAGTGATAGTGAGTGCCTACTACCTGCTTTTGGGTGTAACTGTGTAGCAGCTACTCGTATGTGAAATCTTTGTTTTTCAATCATTCATCAGTCATGGCTGATGTTTGCATGAACAATTCTCATAGGGCCCCAGCAGCCCTGTAGGAAAGTGAATATTCAAGGCGTTTGGAAGCTCGTGTCAACCTTCCAAGAAACACAAAAAACAGCAAGAATGCTCCGAAAAGACACCGCAAGCCGTGGGAGTTTGCTCAACACCATTGTATATCATTATGCTTGGCTGGTTCCCTGATTTCACTTGCCCAAGCCTCCTGTGGGAGCTGCGACTGCCTCCCATCGCCTGAGGCCAATGAACTCCACAAGGGACGTGGAGATGTGGCCGGGGCACCTGATCTGCGGTCCCGGTGGGTGCTGTAGTTCGCTGAAAGGCGGCAGGCATATTTTTTTGTTTGGGAGAGGCAATCTGCGGGATACGGCGGGTGCTGCTTCTCCAATGGCTGGTCTGGAGCAGATCGCCCACTTCCCCAAGCACCCGTTCACATGACACGGATCTTTTTCACGGCGTTTGGCCATCAGCCTCTCTCCTGCAGGTGGTGCCCTACAGCGGGCCCAACATCCAAGATGACTTCATCCACCGGATCTTCTTCCGAGTCTACGAGCAGCCCTACCGCGTGCGAGACCCGGTTGTTTTGGCGAGCTGTTTTTTTGGGTCGATTGCTGGGGACCCAATGACCTACGAGTACCCAACGAAACAAGTGGATGACAAAATCCGGAAGCAAAGAACACCAAAAGGTCAATTTGGTTGTAAATGATCCCCAACACTGGCTGCTTGTATGGAGAGCAGCTGCTGAGCATCAAGTGGGGTCACACCGTGTGCCGTGGCTCTCCTCAGGTACCTCAGCACTTGCTTCGTGATTGGCCCAGCTTGAAGCAGTGGATGCGCGACGCGGGTCTGCAGGGCACCGCCGTGCGCCAGGGCGGAAAGATGTCGGAGTTCCTTCTGACGGCCGCCCGGGGGCTCAGACCGTGCGGGGCGGTGCCAGGTGATGGGTCGGTGCGAAGGCCGGTCACGGGTGTGCGCGGTCGGTGCTTCAGGTTTCCACCTCTCAACTCGCGGCAGGGTAGAACGAAAGGACCGAAAGCGCGGAATGCGCAGGACTCAGGACATGACTCTTGCGGTGCAACATCGGAAAGGGAAGCGATTTCTACGGGGCTGTTGGGCCACCGATGCTTGAAGTGGAAGACTCAGACCTGAGGGTAGGGAGCCATCTTCGACCTGCCTGAGGCGCCATCCGCTTGATTTGCAAGTTTCTTTTGCCGCAAGACATTGTCCAAATCAATTAGCAGTTTGTAAAACGCCACACTTCTCCGGGGGGGGCGACATGGCAAGTTTGCCTTTCTGGAGCCACACGCATTTTTTCACTTTAACCTATCGCTAAGTAGGGCGCAAGCAGGACTCCTCCATATCCTCTCGGTCTTAGCATCTTTGGTTGTTCCGTATTGTAAAGTGTGCGTGCGATCCACGTCAGACCACTTGATACACTGGAACCTGGATCTTCTTTGTGTAATTACCACGTCACCTACTGCCCCCCACGGTGTACAACGGGCTGAACACCATCGAAGCTCGAGTGAGGTCCGGAAGCGGCCCAATGCTGCCTGGCGAGGGATCGACCGAGCAGTCGGGATTGGGGCACCTGGGTGGGGCCCCCTATAAGGATGGATAATACATAGACACTTCTACCAGGTAGGCGCTGGTTCATACTTTTTCATGGCCCAGAGGTACTCTGCTGGGCTTGGGTCCGGCTTCGCCCCTGAAAGTCCAGCTCGAAACAAGGCAGATGGATGGACCGATGCTTTTGGAACCATTGAACCGGCCCATCCCCTTGAACAGGCGCCCAAACCTCTTTCTGTTCATGGCCCAAAGTGGTTTGGGTCGGCTTTCACCCTGGATTCGACGGACCTTTGGAGTGACCCAGAAGAAGTTCGCTCCTTCTTCTCCTTCTTCTCTCTCTATTCCAATACACATCCATTTGCTTCGCAAAAGGCTTCTTTTGGACACAAATGATGATTGCAAAAAAAACTCATTGTGACGTCCAGATCATTTGAAGCGTCTTGCTGGCCAATTCTCGTCCCTTTCTCTGGTCCGAAATCGACCGGTACCTCACTACCTCTCACCTCGAAAACCCAAGAGCAAACTGATGTGGCGTCCAATGAATCGAATCTGAAACTGTCGACCAATGGCAGCGGTTTTCTTTTTGTTTAGACAGACCTCATCAGGCCAATATGTGCGTTCATGGCAGAGATTTTGGACTGTAAGGCTGGCCCCCTCCCCCCTGACCGGCGCGGTCGCCACGGGTGACGACCGCCCGGCCGAGGTGGCGACGGCAGGTTTGCCTGTGCGGGAGCTTGGGTTGGGAAGATCGAAGGGAGCAGGACTAGAGGGGATGCACCTGGGGGTGGATGAAAAGATGATGACAGGTTCTTTCGTTTGGAAGTCTGGACATGATTGATGTTGGGAATATCTGGACCTTGAATAGCTATGGACAGGTTGCATCAGCCACGTTTCGATAGCCTATCACGCACGTTTGCCTCCCCTGAGGCTTTCCCTCCTGGCGAACTCCCGCGCAGCTTCGCTGCCCCAACCACGTCTTCGGGCGCGGGCCAGCGTGGACGCCGTACCGCGGCGAGGCGGGGTGTGCGATTGGAGGGTTTGTGAGCCATCGCCCGTATGCCTTGGTGTCCATAAACTCACAATATCTCACCACTGAGCGTAATTAGAGTGACCTGCCAGTCTTCGCTCTTAACACCAGTGCCAGTAGCTGTTTTTCACGTTCAAAAACAGCAGCACGCCTTGCCCTAGCCTTCAAAGATCATTAAAATAATGGTTGGCCTGGTTGTGTAGTGTAAAAACATGTAAAATCCTTAGAACAACCATGGTTCTTTGGTAAAGACCATTAAATCAATGGTCCATGATTGTTGGAATCCTGGGCTTGGACCTGTCACAGGGATCCCACCGTTGCTTTCGACCCCACCGTTCCTGGGATGTCCGCACGGGACCTCGGCGGTACCATGACCGCGCCGGACAGCCCAGGAGAGGCTGGGCCAGATTTCTCGAAGCGCCGGGATCCTAGTGCAGACGGGAGGTTTGAGTGAATGCCACCCTGAAGCATTGCGATGTTGTTGCATTTATTTTTCCATGGCCTTCTTACTCACCTTGATCATGAGACATTCGTCGATTCCATTCGTCCACGGATGTGTCGTGTCCCGTGCGATCCAAGGTCTCCGACGATGAGTCCGAATGAAAAAGAAGTTGCTCCGACGATTCACTCACGTCGGTGGGTGCAGTCAGTGATTGGTGCAGTGTTGGAGCTGTCGACTCGTCGGATTGGTGGGTCGATCTCTCCTTTTCAAGACAAGCACGGTGATGTCAGGTATGGCTTTAGGTGAAACATGTAAAAAGTAAGGCACCCATGACACAAAAAAACACCAAGAGGATGACTGAAGCAACGGCCAATTCGGCCCGAAGAATTCACGGAAACACAGCTGAGACGTCTCGCCTGGTGATACCCAGAGCTTCACAGTGAGGTGTAGAGACCAACATGCAAAACCAGACATGAGACAAAAGTTATCTGCCAAGTTCAGTCCCCAACTTTCATTCCGCAGCTGGCAGCCACCGACTGTGAAGAACGAGGGAGATATGTTCAACCATTTTCAACCTATATATGGATTATATGGCAACAGTCCTGCATGCCGGTCGGTGATGACGACAGGGATTTGCGTCAGGTGCTGAGGAGAGGGTGCTTGAGTTCTTGTTAAACTCTCCTTCTCCTTCTAGACCGAAAGAAGGGTGACCAGCAAAGCACACTTAAAGCGAGTCCAACTGCTACTAGTATATGTATTCCCCGATTGCATAGATGACGTGTGGCTTTCTTGCACGAGCGCAGGGGTTTTGTAGCTGCTCAGGTCTGAGTGATGTCGATTGAGATTCAAAAGCGGATCAAGGACCGGGACGTGCACCAGAGTTCCCTTCACCTGTTTGTTGGTGGGGTCCATCTCAAGTGCTTCAAGCGATCAGGCCATCAGTTTTTCGTCACTTGTAGGACCTTTCTTTTCGTCCGTTAAACCAGGTAGTGATACTTCTACGTGTGCCTTTAGAGACCACCAGCCTTCGCCAGAAAAAACAAAACACACACACACACACACCAAACCACCCAAACCACCCAAACCACCCAGCCGCCCGCTCAAGCCGCCGTTTCTTCCCCGGGAAGGACAATGCCACCAGCGTCTCGGACTTCTTTTCGGACCTCTACAAGTGGACGGAGGACCGGCGGAGAAACGCGGCGCTATTGATTGTGTGAGGACGTGGCATGTTGGACGGTGATGGGGAACATGTGGGAACATGACACTTTTTGGGACTTGTGGCCTGCCCAGCGGGCCAGAATGGATGGTTTACAGGCATTTGGGATCACCCACTTGGCTGGGACACCTTGCCCCAGCATACCCCAACTGGTTTTTCTGGTGAAGAAGTACTTTTGTCGTTCGACTCCCAGATATTCCCTTCTTCTGATCCACTTCGGATCCCAACCCTTCGGCGACTCCCGGCCGCAGTCGGCGACCGTGCCGTTGAGGATCAGGAGAAGGAGGAGCGCCGCAGACAGATCCGGAAGACTGCGCAGCAGGTGCGTGTGGATCCGTCGGGCCCACGCGGCTAGCGGAGTTTTTGGGCCACGCGTTGAGATGGTTCGGGCCACGTGTTGTGTTTGGTTCTTTGATGCTTTGTGGCTCACAGTGTCAGCCCACAAAGGTAGGGATGCAAGGGACACAAGATGGCTGATGTATGCTGCTTTGGTTGCGGAGCTTTTGTTAGCGATGTAAATGGGATCGGATGGGAGGTTTGTGATTGTTTGATTGTTTGAAACATTGATTGAGAGGCTTCCGCAGCCGTTGACAAGCTTTGTTGCGGTCAGGCCGGAGTCAATGAAGCCCAAAAGCTCCTGGCTCGGGTGCCGAGTTGCGAAGTCAGTGGGGGAGTTATGAAGATCGACGTGGTGTCGAAAGGTCCCCAATTAATTAGATGGAGATGATACCTTGTGTTCTGTTTCTAGCCTATATCTATCTAATATGTGTATATTTTCTTTCTACTGGTTCCCCTCCGAAGAGAAGTCTGCATAGGTTGTGCGATTGGGGTTGAGTGGGTCCAATGTGTTGGTTCCGTCGGCAGGGTTGGAACGCTGAAGGGGCGAGATGGGGTTCTCGGCAGGTGGCAAAGCCCGCAGAGAGCACACCGGCTGTAAAGGTGGATGACGAGGTGCAAGATGACAGGCGCCCAGTGAGGGGTCGAACTATGAGTGCCATCCTGTAACCACAGATCACTTGACTGCTGAACATGTGCAGATTTTGGTGGAAAACAGTGGTAGGGGTCTGGTAAATGAAAGATTATCCAACCCAAACGCTTGGGGGGAACAAGGCGGTTCCGAACATACTAATGTAGACTCTTGATTAATACCCCCCCAGACATGCATTGAACATCCTCTTCATATGGGGGGGGGTATTATTCAAGAGTCGAGTCTAGAGTCCACATTAGGAGTATATACTTGACTCCTTTGACCGGAAACTCATGTTCTTCCAAAGAGCTCAACGCTTAAGACGTTTTTCTCCACCACAATTGATGAAGATCCTTGAAGGGACTTTACTGACCAAGTTGTACAACCCATTCAAGGTCTGCCTTTTTTCCTTCGGAAGGTGGAGGGAGATCCATGCCCTGGAGCCCCGTCCCACTCCGGGCCTCGGCCGGTCCGGGGGCAGGTCGGATGCCATCCGCAGGGACAGGAACCCCATGGCGCAGTGCCCCGGACCGGGGCTCCGGACCGCGCGGGGGCGCGGTAAAAGGAAGGAGCTCCACGGTGAAAGGTGTGTTCTTCGGTGTGTTCCTCGGGCAGTGTTGAGTGTGTGTAGCAATTTCGGGGCCAAAGGCGGTGGTGTGGAAGCTGGAGGGTGATGGTCATCGTTTTGGGGTTGGGGAGAATGGCAAGGGGTTGGCACATGCTAGCTGCTGCTAGCACTGCAGGTACCATGCATGGCCTTCTATGGCCTTGGTTGATTAGTAGAGGGGATACCATCCAGAGAATAACCAATAGGGCAATAGGTTTCTAATGGTTTATGGGACCAAATCGACTCCTCTATTTTTGCCACAAACGACATCATTGGGCAGGTACTACAATGACTGGGATCAGTACGACCCAGATGCCGAAGTCGACAAGATCGAAGATGAGGCGGAGCAGCGGAGGTGTTTCGGGAGGTGAACCAGTTTGATCTATCGAAGTTGAATGAAGTCGATCATTCGGAAAAGATGAACAGATTAAAGATGTGTCAGATACCATGACCTAAGAATCGACTACCCAGACTACTTCTAGATCTCCAGCGCAAACGGAATGTCCGAGGAAGATGAAGGATGGCAGGTGGAACGCGAAGCCTCTCTTGAACCCAGCTGATTTGCATCAGGCCTTTCAGCAGCAGCGTGCCGAACGAGAAGCCCGCCAGGTGAGGTACCGTTGCGTGGCTGAACAGAGAAGGTATGGAAAACAAGGTATGGAGAAGGTATGGATAGAGATGGGTATGGCGGTATGGCATGGAATGGCAGGCTGGACGAGCCTGGGAAACTGGGAACTAGGAACCGGAAGAGATTTGATTTGAAGCATCTTCGTTTCAACATGAAGCTTGGGCGGGGTCCTAGTTCATGCCGTGCCCGAGTGTAGTAGTACAGATTTACAACCTTGCAGCAACAAAACCCATTCATCGCACATCTTTCTCCCAAAATAGCGAAGGCCTTGGGGACACGAGTGGTTGCATTTTTTCCGAAGACCTGATGAGCTCGCTGGCCACAAAGTTGGTGATGCACACAGACCGAGTGACTTTTGGTGTTCAAGTGGGATCCAAAAAAGTCCTACGTAGCTTAGCAGAAGCTGAAGATAGACTCTCTGAAGAATACCAAACTTTTTACGGCATCATGCCATGCCGCTATTTTGAGAACTTCAACCAACACGGTGATTTCGTCGACGTTTCCTCCTTGACACAGTGGTTTTGCTTTTCTTTCAGAGACAAGGAGGAAGGAACTCCTCAGCCTGGCTTCATCTGGGCGGCCAGGCTGAGAAGGATCGGATCTTGGATGAGATGGCCCGGGCCCCGCCGACACAGCAGGGGCATGACATGGCATGGAGCTCCTGAACCCAGAGTTCATACTCTGGGGAAACCCGGTATGGTATGGCACAGTTTCTAGGCCGTGGATAACCAGCCTCCCGAATTAGAGATGGGGCAAGATGGAGAACAACTTGATTTGACCAATCTATTGTAGGCTTTTCTCGCTCCATTCTCCTGAATCTACGGACATCCGCCATCCACTCTGCTGTCAACCTACAGCCATCCAAAGCTCATGGCTGATGGCCAGTACCCTTGAGCCGTGGAGGCAGCTTTTTCTTGTGACATGCATCTTCAGCACCTTCCACTACCTGGACTACCTCCCCAGCCTGAGAGGCAGCCTGAGAGGCCTGGGCTTTTGCAGCCTTGGCTTCTTCGTTCCGAGGCCCTCAAGCCCAACGGCGACCGGACCCGCACCACCACCGCGCGGCCGCGGGTGAAGGCGATGTGGGGGAGGGGTTGGCCTTACATTGGCTTCGGGGGCCAACGGGTAGGCTGACGAGGTTGGGTTTTTAGGGAGGACGAAGGAGGTGTAGTTCTTGCTTGGTGTTCACCGACAGAGACGAGCACACGAGCAAATGAGGTAGACAATGAATGGGAGATGACTTGTAGATCTGCCCTGATTGGGTACGGAGAGGTTGGTGAGGCTGGTGATTTGATGATTGCAGATGTTTGGGGTGTCCTTACATGACCTTTACCTTGCATGGTGCTTGCCGAGTTCTTGCCTTTTGAACCACGGTGTCGTGTTGAAACCGTTTGTGCCTCCTTCCCGGCAAAAAGCTTTGGAGTTTAGATTTAGATCGCTAGAAGAAAAGAAAGGAAAACCGAAGAATCGAGGAATCGACCTTTGTTCTTTGGACCTAAGACTCCGCCCCGTGCCACCATGGCCCGTGCCACCTCCGTGCCCCTCCCTCCCGTCTCGGGCCAGATCTCCGTGCGGCGGAGCGGGCGGAGGGTGGCGCCGGTGGACCTGGCCGCCCCGCGGAAGGACGAGGCGCGGAGGACGGACGGACCGGAGCAGGTTGCGCTGGTGTCTCAGTGGGAGGTGTCTCAGGTCCCAAAAACGAAGGAGAACGCGTGGAGGGTAATAGGGTAGGAGTTATAGGAACGTTTCGGGTGTTGTTGGAGGAGTATTTCTTGCTCCACCTGCCACCCATGGGCGGTTCGTTCCCCCCCGCTCGGCGTGGATCTGGGCGGAGGGGTTTCCCCGGGGAGAGGCGATCTGGGTGAAAACGCCTGAGGCGAATCGCCTCTTTGGTGCCGGCCGCTATCGCGAGGCTGGGGGCTCTGTGCGGATCTTGTGGCTGTGCAGATGGTTTACAAGGTATTTTTAGGCACCCTGCAGATTGAATGTGCATCCATTTGCCGAGGTGCAGGTTTCTTCCGGTGAAAAAACACCCATTCAAATCATTGAAGCACAGTTCTGAGAGAGCTCTTTGTAACATCTCTTCTTGGACCAACAGAGGTTGAAGAACCCTATAGGCTATCCCATAGATACCCTGGTAGGGTCCTATAAGGTCACTTAATCTCTGTTGTTTCGAGAAAAAGAACCTCTCCCTCTCCGCCCGCCTTTGAGGCCATCGCTGCCTACACCGCCGCGCTGGACTGTCTCGAGAAGTACGAACCTCCCGAGGACGTCGAGCACCGCGTCGGGTTGAGATTCGCGACCGGTCGTCTCGGTGTTTGGTTGGGCGATCGAGGGCGTTCGTGTTTCGCAGGGGGTCCGGTGGACATCATCGAAGCATCGCATCGAAGCACCTGACCAAACGACCTCGCTAGTAGCAGTGGATGTGGAGCCTGACCCTTAGGGAAGGTTGGGGGCTCCTGGACAGGAGCCCAAGGTTTTTGGTGCTTGAGGAGCTTGATGAAAGGAATGGGAATGCACTTTCGAATACTTTCATTGCTCCGAGCACGTCAACGCTGTCCATTTTTGGGAGCTCGTGCCAGGCGCCAGGGCGTGCCGTGCGTTCCACGGCAGATGGAGGGCGCCAGGGCGCCCGAGTTAGGTGGTGGGCGGGGTTCACATCTCAAAGAATAGCCTCCCTCCAAGAAACATGGACGTGGACAATCCCCGACCATTGTTTTTCCAGGGGCCATGCCATCCACTTCCATCATTGTTTCAGGGAGTGTCATCAAGAAGATGTAAACATGAGGACTTAGTCACAGCCTGTCTATTGAGCACATGAGGACTCGTTTTACTTCTGGCTCCTCACTCACTGCGTGAGCACCGAACGTGGGACGTGGGTGAATTCCAGTGAACACCACGTGGTCCTTTTGCATTGAGCGACGATGACACGGAGCACTGAGATCCCTCCATGTGGGACCGAGTACTGTTGGTTGCTTGATGCAAGAGTACTGTTGTTGAACAAGCACGCACTTGCTTGCCAAAGGTGCAGGGGTATGCCAGTTTGTACGCAGTTTCTACATTCCTTGGGATGGTGCCAGACATGTACAACTGGCTCTGGTTGGATGGTTTCGATGCTTTTTGGTTGATGGTTGGTTCTCGTTGCACGGTTAGCTTTACAGCCAACTTGCCATTGCACTTTCTGCATCTGCAGCACCTCTTTCGCATTGTTTCGCCACGTTTGAATCTTCCAGACAAAGCCAGTCATTGACCTTGGGGTTGATGCGGAATCCGCTCGTTTGCGCGAAGAAAGCGCGTTGCAGTGGTGCAGCACGAAAACAGCGACGCACGGTGGCCACGCGTGTCCCACACCACGCGGTGTGCTCTGAGGTGACCAGGAGGACAGCTGTGGCCAAGAACAGGAGGCCATCGCTCTGAAGGCGCTTGGTTTGGCTCTTTTTTCCGGAGCTCCTTGACCTGCAAAATCCAAGCGTGTGCAAAGTCAGGTGCTTCAATAACTTGAATATGTTTTATCCTACCAATATGAAAGATCTTTGTGTAACCTTCGACTGGCTCCTTTCGTGTGGCACTGTGAAGCACCTGGCATTGTGCGAGGTGGCTCTCCTGGCCAACCGTGCGCTCGCATGCTTCAAGCTGGAGGAGATGTTTTTTCTCTCCCAGATAGCGAGTGCTATTGGGGTTCATACTTCAAGTATAGGAAGAGGTGCGTGTGTGCGCTTGCTAGTGCCACTGCAGGGTGCCAGATGTGTGGCCGCATGCGCTTTGGAGCCTGGGTGCTGGTGCCGTTGCAGGGCGCCCTGCCGTGCTGTTTGGAGCTTGGGTGCTGGTGCCGCTGCAGGGCGCTGCTGCCAATTGTCTGCTGTGCGGGCCCTAGTTTGGAATCGACTCCTTGGAGTTGAAAGTTGGTTGTAAGGCATATGAGCGGGGCCAAGCTGGTGGTCAATTGGTGGGTAGTTTCAAGGCAGGTATCGTTTTTCAAATTGTTATCGTTTTTCAATCCTTTTGTTTTTTTGGGAAGTACCGTCTACATGCTGTGGAAGGTGATTTTGCAAATGAATAGTAGAAGAAGCAGAAGAAGAAGAAGAAGTAGTAAGTAGTAGTAGTAGTAGTAGTAGTAGTAGTAGTAGTAGTAGTAGTAG